GGCTCGCTCGAGAGGGGTGCTAGTGACCAGCAAAGGCCGAGCAATAATAAACGGGACCCAAAAACGAGCACGGGGTCACGCGAAGAGTAGCAGGTCGGGGTCGCCGGAAAACGCAGGTATGATGATCGCCGGCCTGCTCAGTGATGATAATGACCTCGACGATGGTGCTGCGGGACTGTTGGGCAGCGTTCGGAACCAGGGCTGAGGTCGCGCGTGGAACCGCGATGAGACTCGCTCGCGATGAGGACATCCGCGTTGGACACGGTGATCGGAGGCTGCAACTGGAGGCGACGATGGTGATGGCTGGAAGTTGCAGGGTTTCGCCGGGGATGGACTGCGACCTGCGTACGTTAATGGTGGTTCACGGCGAAAGCTTGGGTGCAGTTATCGAGCGGACATGGCGGAGGTGGTGAGTAGCAGAAATTTCCGGCGATGGTCGAGGGGGCTGGGATCCTGGTTCATGGAGACGGCCGAACGGTGCGCGGAAAGAGGGGTGGCCGGTGGCCGGGTGTGATTTCGGACAAAAAAAGAGGAAAGGAGAGAGAGGAGGAAATTCTGTAGGGAAGCAGATAGAGAAAACGAGATAGAGGGAGGAGAGAATCTGATTTTTCCAATGTGGGAAGAGAGAGAGATTTAAGGTGAGAGAAGGTAATTAAGAAATAATTAATCTTAATTAAAAATAAAAATGTAACTTCTCCTAATCATGAATGATGGTTGAATATTTGAGGAAGAAGTTACAAAAATTAAATTTCAAAATTCAAATTAGAAGCCATGCTAGCAAAGGACTCGAGATGGGCGGAAAATCGAGTACGGGTACGGGCCACGAATGATCTTCGGGCGCACAGGTTTACGGGTCTCTCGGGCTCGATACTTAGGATAAAATACTCGGGCTCGGATCACACGATAGTTAAATTAAAACCGAATATATATATATATATATATAACACATAATTAATATTTTATAATAGCATTTAGACAATTAAGATTAACTAATAATAATAACAATAACGATAATAAATAATAACCTTAATGATAATATTCAATAAATAGAATATTTCGAGAAATTCTATAAATCGAACGGGGCGTTACAGTCTATCCTCCTTAAAA